AGACACACTTTCAGATCCTGAACCCAAAATATCCCAGTTTGTGACACGCCTTCAGATCCTGTACCCAGGATATCCCATGTTGTGTTACACACCTTCAAATCCTGTATCCCAGGATGTGTCACACACCTTCACACCCCATACATGGACAAGTACTGCGGACCTGGTTTCTGGTGTATACAATATGTGCTCTAAAATATTCTGGAAGTGGATGACATCCAATTGAAAAGGATACACTCCTGGTCATGATTCACTGGTACTTCCATTTTGCTGTAAGAGAAATTACTGACACCTGCAGTGTTTGTCTCCTGCACTTCTTTTATTCCTTAAATCAGCTCCTGACAGGTTCTTGCTTTTAAAAGTTGGGGAGAAAGAAGTTGGAGGATGTTGAGATGGCTTGAGTAGAAAAAGGAGAAATGGAGAAGCAAGCCTGCATTGGGTAGCCTACTATTGTAAGATGACTTGTTTTAGCAAGTATTGTGGATGTCTTTTCTTCTTTAAATCAGCTTGGTTTTCATTGCTTATTGAATGAGGATTTAAGTATTTCCAGTTTGGTTTGGGCATCAACGGACGTTGCTTAAAAAAGCTTGAAAAAGCAATGAAACAATAAAAACTTGCCCATTTTGTTGTAAATCTGATATATTGCCACTTTTTTTATTGTCATCTGTCCTGCTTACCGTGTTCCTTACAAGAAATGATTTCTTGCAAGTAGTGTGTCTCAACTTTTCCATCGTGAATTTTCAACAAGCAACTTGTGGCATTTTTCAAGGTACTCAACAGAGGAGAGGCAAACCTAGATTGCAGAACAATTGTGAATATTTTTCAAAGTATTATATCATATTTATTACAACAGGATATGTTCAACTTTTTTTCAACCATGGTATGATGTAAAATTTCATTTTGATGAAAGGCATTTGTGCAGAAAGGCTCTTAACTTTAAGTCTTCTGCAGGAACCGCTGTACTGTTAGTTATCTTTAGCTTTCTGCATCAAACAGCTTGAGGAACGGTGAAAAAGAAAACCTTAAACAGGATGGAGTAATGTGCCTCATAACAGATTAATCTATTAATCAGAAACTCTTCTGGAGAATATACGTGTAAATTAGAAAACACTGTTAAAAAGAGCAAGCTTTTCCTGCAAGGCAAATTTTAAGTGATCGCAGAGGCCGAGGTCTTTTCCAGTCCTACCAAAACCTTGATAAAAGTCAACAAATAATGTTTCATGAAATTAATAAAGGAATATTTTGAAAATTTAAGTAAAGTTTAATCAACCAAATAGTCTACCGTATAAAAATATGAATTTATAGAATCACAGGGATGACTCATACGCTGTATTTTGATGAAATTTATCAAAATGTCACATCAGTAACATATTTATTGATGTGACTGGCATTACATGATGTAGGCCTCCCGATAAATATTTCCACAGAATCTACCTTTACATTTTTTTTGCATCATGGAATCAGATGACTAACAACCATAGTGTTTTATGAAAAAACACTATGGGAGAAACTGTACTTTCAAAACATCAATGTGTTTCCATTTTATCAGTTACTTGAAACTAGGCCATCCGCTTTCCACACTTTGTTGAATTGCACATTTGGGATAAAGTTACTTATACAATTGTGTACATTGCTCGATTTTCATCCATTGTCCAATCCCATGATGCATTGAGAATGTGGAAAAGGGTTATTGCTAAAATTTCCCTTTTCTTGGATTGCAGACCAGTTAACTTTGAACTGAACATGCATGTAGATGGAGTCAGAGTACCTTTCATGTGTGTACGTGACAGGTTTAAACAGTGCTGCAGTGTAATCCACACTTTGTAAGACAAACTTTGAAAGTCCTGGAAATGAAAGCACTTAGTTTATGTAGCTGGCCGTGGAGAAGATGTACAGCACCCTCTTTCAGTTTCATGAAAAGGCTGTGGTTTCTATTTTTAGAAGCAGCACATCGTGACCTTACTGCTGTAACTGCATGAACCGCATGAAAACATTGACGCCTCTTGATTCACATCAATCAAAAGAGAAATCTCTGCCCCTGGATGTAAAAGTTTTTCAAAGGGTGCATGTGTAGTTGTCACAGAAACTACTATCCATCTTCAGTTGAAATTTGGTGACGGTTCTTTTAGCCGAGCTGTTTAGAACATTAGGCCTATGCTGCATTAATCCATTTGCAACATACATGTAACAGGCAAGGGTGGAACCAAGGGAAGGGCGAGTAGAGACCATGCACATACACACCCCCCAAAAAAGAAAGAAAATGTACAGGGGTGGGACAAGTTTATTTCTCTTCCTTCCAAGACCATGTAAAAAGCCCCAAGTGCAGCCAAACTTCCGCAAGTTTTGGGCCCCCATAGAAATGAGTTTGCCCTCCCCCCTGCAAAAACTTGGTGCTGGGTCTACCCTTGATAGCAGGCAAGTTGCTTTTAGCTAATAGCGTGTACAAGATGTTAGATGTACAGGTAATGTGCATAGGAAGGATTGTCACATTCCGTTGGTGTACTTGAAGTGACACGTGAATGAAAACTGGAGAAAAAAGTGCTATAAAGTGACTTTGATATACTGTATATATCTTTGAAAAAGAAATGTTTGTTAAGTTAGTCACCACATCATCTGGTATGTTGCTTATTTACAAGATACATTGCTCGAAAGAGTGCACCTTTAATGTCATGTGACTGGTCACATGATAGCGTCATTATCACATGAAGTCCATTTCACAAGCAGATTGGCACTTTGACAAAGCCATTGAACGGAGGAAGTTGAAAAGAAATGTTTGCTTTGCAAACTGGATTACCAGCCAAAATGTAATGTCCTGTGTACTGCTCATGGCTGGTCCCTGGCTAGCATCTCAGAAAAGAATACTTTTGGCTGCATGAGATCACAGCTTATGATGTGGTGAAGGACTTCTTATTAAAGAAAGGTGGAAAACTTGGACAACTCTGTGTGTATCACAAGGCTAGCATTAAATGCACTCTCGTTTTAACTCACAGAATGTTCAGATGCTTCTTTGATTTCGACCAATGTTAAATTGTTGGATGATTTCAGGCATGATTGTTCTTATTATGGATTAGGGTACCATTGATTTTTAAATTTATTCATGATATTGTCTGATGAGCCCCAGTGTCATGTGATTTTCATTTTAAAATGTTGACGACTAAAAAGGAGGTTTCTCAAGAGTAATAAGTTTGCAACAGGACTTGAAGAATGGCCAGGTCAATATCTGTTAGGGGATATGAGGATCACAAAGGAAATCAAGAATGTGTAAGAAAACCAACTAAAGAACTTTTTGAAAAAATTGTGTGAGAAATTTTCGAAGTAGTATTGTTGGCATGCTATCATGCTCTGTAATCTGAATGAGTTTCCAAATGTACTTAAGATTAACGCTTTTATCACTTGGTCATCAGAAAAGTTGTGCTTAATACCTGTTGGTACAGATGAAACTGAACACTTTTAAACTTGGGAAGCCTCAATTTGTAGAGATAAGAAATGATACACTCCTGTTCATCATTTTGACTCACAAAATGAAGGATCCCAAATCAGCCATTTCGATGCTCAGGATGGGGCCATCTGAATTAGTTCTTTTGCTGGAAGTTGTGCATTTTCAGTGTTTTTATTTTCAAAAACTGCAGTCTGGGAAATAAGTTTACTCAGCAAATAATGCTTGATTTTTCATTTATTCTGTGTATAAAATTAACTATAGCTTAATAATTACAGGCTTATTACATGTAAACGACAATACTGGTATTTGTTGTCAGATTGATTTAATTATAAAGATGTCTACCTAAAACAATTATGAAGTATACTAGGAACTTGGAAAACAAAGAAATTTAATTTGCTTGATTTTTATCAAACAATCCACCTTCTTGGCTATTGAGATTAACCTTGGATATATATTTGTTTATGATAGGCGCAACTACAAATTTGCATGTGGACATTAAAAACTTAAAATAACGAATCACCTACTAAAATAAAGCTTCCATTGAAATGATTTACATCTACATTTACGTCAGTCCACATGAACTCATTCTGGTACATTTGACACAAATGTAATTAACTCCAAGAGGCTAACAGGATCACACAAAGCAATACAGTAACCACTGAAAACCCCAGGTGGTAGGATACTATCAGGTTGCAAATATTCTTTAAAAAAAAAAGAGAGTACCACCTGCTTGGTCTGAGCATCAAGTGCACCAGTGAAAGGTGTGCAAGCATAATAGTACAATCTCCCCAATTTTTAAAGTGGTTTCTGGAGTTGCCTGTGAGCTCTGAGCAACACAAACACAGTACACTCAGTTGTTATATTGAGTG